GCTGCTTAGATCACATGGTCGCAAGAGGAACGTCGTCGCCGTCGTCGTCGCTGCCGCCGTCGCCGTCGCCGTCGCCGTCGCCGTCGCCGTCGCCGTCGCCGTCGCCGTCGCCGTCGCCGTCGCCGTCGCTCTCGCTGTCGTCGTCGCCGCCGCCGCCGCCGCCGCCGCCGCCGCCGCCGTCGTCATCGTCGTCGTCGTCGTCGTCGTCGTCGTCGTCGTCGTCGTCGTCGTCGTCGTCGTTGCGTCGTCTCCGTCCCTGCCAGGTCCTTGCCTTGCGATGGCGCAGCAGGGCGGACCGCAGATCGACCTGTCGAAGATCCCCAACCTCCCCGGCTACAGCGTGACGAGCCTGGGGGGGGCGCCCGCGCCGAAACGTCGGCCGGCCTCCACCGTCTTCGGGATGCCAGATCTCGGCGGCGAGCCCAGGGGAGAAGCGAGGGGGGGCCTGCCCCCTCTCGCTTTCCCCCCCCCGAGGCGCGCCGCCGAGGGCCGGCGCTCTCGGAGGGCAGCGTGGCGGTGTCGGCAGGATCTGGTGCTCCCTCGGGCTCTCCGCGCTGGCCCCTCCGGGGTGCCGCCGACGTCGCACCGCGCACCGTTCCCGCGCGCAGCTGTGGTCAGGAAGCTGGATGCGCAGGGCGCGGCCTGCCTGGGCGAGAGCAGGATGCACACGAACGACGGCTAACAACGGGTCGATTGCGCCGACATGCGCGCGGAAGCTGCCAGCGGAAGGCCGCGCGTAAGCGCCCTCTTCTCCACGCGGGATGCCACGCTGGCGGCCCGCGTAAGCCGCGGCGCAAGGTCGCTGTGTAAGACCCGCTTGAGTTCGTCGCTCACATGTGGCGAGATGTCGTTCCAGCGCTCGGCACGTGATGGCTGTGCAGGCCAGGCTTCCGCATGCGTATCCAGCGCGTGCTCTCCAGGTGTTCCACATGTGAGTCCAGACAGTTGTGTGTGTGTGTGTGTGTGTGTGTGTGTTCCAGCTTCCTGGTATACCTGCCTCTGGCCAAGCGTTTGTGCGGCAGCTTCCAGGGGCGCAGGCCCAGTTTCTAGTCACTGTGCGTGCCCTGGCGACTCGACAGAAATTGAGGGCGTTCACTTTTATCCTTATGCCAGCGCTTGGAGGTCCTCTTCCTGGCCCCGGCGCGATAAGCAACGGGGTGAATAGCCAAGAGCTTCCTGGACATTCTCGCGTCGTGAACGAATCGCGACGCTACGTTTTTGGCAATTTTCGGACTCCAGGAGCCCTGAATGGGCCCCAGGGCCGTCAGCAAACGACTCGGGATGAAAAGCGGGTCCCTGGGAAGCGTTCCAGATGTACAGTCGGGCATCTGATTGAGAAACCTCCCGAAAAGCTGGGCCAGCGTTTCTTCGCCAACGTGCCGGAAAGCTGTCTCAGTTCTTGAGCACGTTCTTTCTTATGGCGTTAACTGCAGAAATTGGCCCCAGTTTGTTTGAAGGAACTTCTGGGAAAGTGGCCGTATATCTTACATGAGAAGATTCAGAATAACATTTGGCTGTGGAACACCCGGGCCCGCCTCCAGACATTCGGCGCCGCAGATTTTCGTGATATTGTCCACCAGGCTTCTCGGCCGCACCCCGACAAGACAAGAAAGCGGTGCATCCATTCATGACGCGTGGGCAGGAAATGCGGTGTAACCGTGGCCAGACGAGGCCGCACGCCGTCGACAATGGGGGGCCCCCCGAGTTGAAGTAGTGAGCTCCTTGAGGCCCGAGGCCCCCAAGGCCCGAAGGCCACCTCTCCCTCTTTCCTCCTCTTCATCCACCCCGCTTGCCAAGAGCCGCCGAGACAGCATGCGCAGTGGTGAAGGAGGAGGAGGAGGAGGAGGAGGAGGAGGAGGAGGAGGATGAGGAGGAGGAGAAGGCGGTGGAGACGCAGGCGGGGGCGGAGGCGGAGGATTACGCAGGAGGAGGACGAGAAGGAGGAGAAGGAGGAAGAGGAGGAGAGGAGGCGGAGACGGAGGCGAAGGCGTAGGCAGAGGCGGAGGCGGAGGTGGAGGATGAGGATGCAGCAGAAGAGGCGGTTCCCTAGCCGGTGGACATGGAACACATTTCCGCCGCGCGTTCTCCATGGGGGCGGGGGCGCCTCCGAGTTGAAGCAGAGGCGCGTCGCCAACAAGAGGGACCAGGCCGCCTCCCCCCCCTCTCCTTGTGCGGGCGCTGCGCCGCGCCTCTCCGCGGGCTCGCCTGCCTGTCGCCGGCTGCCGCCGGCTCCAGGGGGGTGAGGGTGATGCCTTCGCCACGGAGCTCAGAGGAGGAAGGCACCAATACAGTCAGGACGCTGATATACGGACCGCTTTTGGGTTCGGAGGGGGCTCCCTATTCAGGTCATTCCGCGGTTGTTCCTCCAGCCCTCCTCGTGCACCCAGGCGCTGTCGGCGCCAAACGGGGGCTTTATTCTTTGTTTAGCGTTGCTCAGCTTATTTCAGCAGCCCTTCTGCACTTGCCTTCGAGGCCCATTGCGAGCCCCACCTCTGCGGGTCCACTCGGCGCTGGTGTGTCGGACCCCCCTTCGCCTGTCTGCAGCCATCCCTCGAATTCTGAACCCCAGCGGGCGTTTCAGAAATCTGACCTCAGGGGTCGGGCTCGCACGTGGTTGCCTATTGTCGCCACCCTTCCCTCGTTTTCGCCTGTCTGGGCCTCCTGGGCGGCCCTCGCCGCCACGCTTGGATTCGCTTGGGAATCCTGGCGAGAACGCGCCCTGAGAGAGGCTCGGGGCGTAGCGGTGTTGGCAACTTCGGGCTTCCCCGGGAGCGAGGATCGGAGGAGGTCCAGTCTAGGCAGCGGCAGCGCCTGGCTGGCGTTGCCCGTCCGCCCGTGCTAGGCTTCCCGGAGGCTCCTCGTCGCAGCGGCACCCGCCTCGGACAGCGGGTCAGGATGGATTCCGGGAGGTGTCCCGGGCCCGATTTTGAGCGGATTCGGGTTTGGCGGGAGAGCCGTCGTTGTGTCAATCGGTCTTTCGAGAGGAGGAGGATCAGGGCGGATCGGATCGGACTGCTTGGGGCTCGGCGCTTTCCAGCCTGAAGAAGCTGGGTGCTGCCTGGTGAGTGTCATGGTTGGTGGGCCTGGGTCTGAGAACATTCCCCGCTGATTGCAGGAATCGCGCTGGCTCCAGCGACGAGGAGGTGGAGGAGGAGGAGGAGGAGTAGGAGGAGGAGGAGGAGGAGGAGGAGGAGGAGGACCAGAGGAAATCCAGGATGCGCCATTGATGTTGCAGCACACCATTCTGTTTCAAGTCCCCTCGTCATGAGACCCTAGATGTGCTCGTTTTCATTGAGGGAGGCACCCCTCATTGGAAGACGAGCGCTCCATGGGCCTGTCATTCGTGCGAGGGCCTTGTTTCGAACAGGAGCCGCCTCAGTCCTTCTGGCTACAGCAAGCGCCAAGAGGTATGACGCTTGACAGGTACTTGGTGCACCCCCCCATGACCTCTGCTGGCTCGACTTCTGTTCGAATCTCCAGCCCGTCCAGCGGGAGCGCGTGTGGCATCGTGTAAAATGCACCCTGGACGAGGTCACAGCCGCTGCCCTCGAACTATGTGGAGGCGGTCGTTTCCAGCGTCGCGGGTAACGGAGGCATTCGGTGTGGTGCCAGGCCAGAGTGTGCATGCTTCACTCTGCTGGCTATAATGCTCGGTGGAGTTTCCGGCGGGAGCACCGTTTCGAGAAGCAACCGACCTCTACCTGTGCGGCTGTTGCAGAGTTCTACACCGCGAGAACCGCCTTCTCAGGAAGACCGCCGTCCATCTGAGCAGCTGCTGCACGATCCTGCGCTTCTGGTCACTCATTCGAGGAAGTCCAGAAGGAGAAGGAGGAGGAGGAGGAGAAGGAGAAGGAGAAGGAGAATGATGAGGATGAGGATGAGGATGAGGATGAGGATGAGGATGAGGATGATGATGATGATGCTGATGCTGATGATGCTGATGATGCTGATGATGAGGATGATGCTGATGATGATGATGACGATGATGATGATGATGATGATGATGATGATGATGATGATGATGATGATGCTGATGCTGATGGATGATGATGATGATGATGATGATGATGATGATGATGATGAGATGATGATGATGATGATGATGATGTGCTTGGATGCGGAGACCTCTGGGTGCTTCCACAGAGCTTCCCTGGAAGGGAGTGACAAAGGGACTCACCATGAGGGAGAGGGGTCCTGAGGGAAAATGGGTCCTGAGGTTTTTTGCTGCTTTCGATCTCCTGACGCCCTTTCTGGGCCAAGGGCCGTCAAGCACCAACTCAGGATGAGACAACTGGTTCCAGGAAAAGGGCGACGTCCCTGGGTTCAGGGCCTGTTTCCTTCAGCTTTCCCTGAGTCCGAAGTCGTCACCCATGATAATGTCCCCCATCCCCCTCTCCCTCAGCTTCTTGCATGCTTTTTTTCGGTTCTCCTTCCTTCACTTTCTCCTCCCTTCTTCTCCTCCTTCTGCTCCTCCTCCTCCTCAGCCTCCTCCTCCTCCTCCTCCTCCTCCTCCTCATCATCATCATCATCACCGCCTTTCTCCTGCTTCACCGTAGCCGTGTCGACTCAGGCATCCAGGGATCGGATCTTCGGGGCCTTGTTTACAGGTCGAAGTTGCCTTTCACATGGAAGCGGCATACCATGTGCTCGACACAGCAAAGGCGTTGGCATTTCCTCTGAGCCTTTCGCTGTTGACGCTCTACCCCGTGGCGCTGTTGATGTGGCTCTGGATGGAGGGGCGATCCGCTGCGGGGTCGCAGACCAGGGCCAAGGTCGTCGACAGTTCGCAGCGCGATGGCACAACCGAGAAGGCGCCGCCTAAGAAGACCCACCAGCTTGGCAGTCAGAGGACGAAAGCTCGCAGCGCCCTCCTCGCGCGCGGCCTCGCGGTGGCGCTGGTGTGCCTCGCTATGGCCGTTTCTACGGGCGCCTTCGGCGCCTTCGCGTGCGGCAGGCTCCAGAGCAGCAGGCGAGCTGACCGCACCGCGAGGCGCCAGCGGATGCCCGCGGCGCCGACGTCGGACATCTCGCTGTGGCACGACGTCGACCTGCACGCGAGGACGTGGCTCGACGAGGACACTGGACTCTTTCACTATATCAACGAGATCCCTCTCGGCACGCTGGACAAGCACGAGGTGCAGCCAGGGGAGCCCTACAACAGGATCGTGGAGGACCCCGTGGGGTCCGCGCGGCTCAGGGCCTTCGGGCGGCCCGTACCCTTCAACTACGGCTGCTTCCCGCAGACGTACCGTGACCCGGAGGAGATCGACGAGCTCCATGGTGCCCCGGGAGACGACGACCCGTTGGACGTCCTGGACGTCAGCGGCCACTCGGTGGGCGTCGGGGCCATCGTCGAGTGCCGCATCCTGGGGGCCGTATGCCTCGTTGACGAGGGCGAGGCCGACTGGAAGGTGTTCGTCGTGAATACCAAGGCGGGGCCGCTGTCGCACGCGAAGTCCATCGAGGACGTCGAGGACGTGGCTCCAGGGCGCATTCAGGAGATGCTCGGGTGGATGGAGGACTTCAAGCACAGCACGGGGAAGGACACCGCCACGTTGCACTACAAGGTGCACGACGCCGAGTGGGCCAAAGCTCTGGTCGAGCGAGATCACGCTTCCTGGCGCCGTCTCGTGACTGAGGCTCGAGGAAGACCATGCGTACGTATAAACTTTCGGAGCTCCGCACGGATTTCTCGGATTGGCGCTGGGCCTCCTTCCGTAGCGCGCGGAGCGCGCCAGGGGCGGCGCCAGTCGCGGTGCCAGGAGAACCCAGTGCCGATCCAATCGGCGCGGATCTCAGATTTTTTAAACTCATGCAGTTTTTCTTCCTCTATGAGGCGGACGCGGATGGCAAAGCGAGGGGGCATTGGATCCGGCCTGCGGGGTCTGTGGGAGCGCACTGGGGCAAGCAGTTCGCCAAGCTGCTGTCGGCGCGCATCCCCAAGGTGGCCGAGGTGGTGAACCGCACAGCCAGCCAGAGGGTGCTGGTGGAGTGATTGCATGTGTAGTGACAGCAGGGCGGGAATGCCGAGTCTATTCCAAGCTGTACCTCTACGCTCAGCCCACTCGCCCTCCCTACTCTTGCTCATGTCTGCCTCGTTTTCCCTGTACCAGTGCGCAAACTTGTGCAATGTAAGTCGAGCGCGGCCGTGTACAAATACTTGTGACGGTCTCGTATGAAGAACCTGCGCCCCGCCTGCCTTGACTTACTCAGCGTTGGCTTATGGCCCATGGTGGATAGTTGCTGTCTTACTAGACGTGGCAGGCGTCGGGATTGCTTGCATCGGCGTCGCCGGGTGATTGTGGAACTCGTTCGGCGCGCGTCTGCGGCGCCTCGGCGGACTGGCGCTTCTTGGACAGATATCTCTCCCAGGGGGCGACGAGGCACAGCTTCGAGGAAGGAGAAGCGCACGCATCCGGGGCAACGACGAGGGGGGGGACTGGCCCAGTGAAAAGTGGGAAACCGACCCCATCCCCCACAACTAGTGACTTTATATGTCAACGTTTTGCAGTTGTGGCGAAGGTGCGTAAGTGTAGACGCCCTGTAAGCGATGCAATTGCAGTACACTTGGTGTAAAGTTCCTTCTGTGGGGGGCGGGTGTGGCTTTTTTTTATGCGTACACCCAGGGGGGGGAGCATCAAACCACCCGAATCGCCCCATCCCTCACACCAATCGGGGCCTGGGCCCCCCACCCCGCCCAAAGGAATGTGCGGTTTCTCAATCCAGAGAGTAGCGCTGATCTACTGACGGTACCGCCGGTCCCAGGTCATTGTCTCCCCTCGGGGGTGGACAGAACCCCCACCCTGACACGTCGATTAGAGAATTGTCCGTTTTCGGTTCTCGAGAGGGCGCCGCGGCCGTCGTTTTCCAGGCTTGCGCTCGCCAGGTTTGGGCCCGAGGTCGTTTTCACCAAACCACAGTTTGCTAAAGGGGTTTCTGCCCATTCCAGAGCCTCGACTCCGCCAAACATATTCATACCCGAGCCAGGCGTGTCCACTCGCGCGGGTCCAGCTCGAGTGGCGCGCGTGTTGGCTGGTTCGGGGCGGAAGGGTTGTCTTTGCGCTGGTCCTCTTCCTCTCCTCCTCCCCGCCGGTTGGGGTCTCGATGGGGCGTGCTCCGAGGGGGCTGGGCGGCGCGCCGGAGGGGATGGCGCGGGGGGGGGGGGGGCTGGGTGGTTTCTCCGAAGGGCTTAGGCGACCCGTCCTCCTCCTCCTCCTCCTCCTCCTCCTCCTCCTCCTCCTCCTCCTCCTCCTCCTCCTCCTCCTCCTCCTCCTTTCCTTTTCCTTAGAAAGAATTTCTCCCTGTCGCACCCCGAGGCCAGTTTTTAGGGCAGGCCCGGGTGTTTCGCACGAGACTTCCTCACCATTCATGCCTCTGAAGCGTTAAAAATGGCAATTGTTTCACAGATGGAGGGCGGGTCGTTTTCAACATGTGGCTCTCGCCTCAGCGCCGCGCACATCCGTCTCTAAACATTTGCAAGAATTTCGCGGATTGAGGGCGGGTTGTTTTCAACATGCGGCTCGTGCCTTCGCGCCGCGCGCATTCGTTTGAACGAGTTTCACGATTGAAGGCTGGTGGTTTTCAAAATGTGGCTCTCGCCTTAGCGCCGCGCACATTTTTTTTTTGTTTAAAAAAAAAAGAAGATGCAAGAGTTTCACGGGTTGAGGGCGGGTCGTTTTCAAGTGGGCGAATCGTTTTCAAACTGTGGCTCTCGCCTTAGCGCCGCGCACATTTGCTTTGGGCATTTGCAAGTGTTTCACGGATTAAGGGCGGGTGGTTTTCAAAATGTGGCTCTCGCCTTCGCGCCGCGCACATTCGTTTCAAACATTTGCAAGAATTTCACGGATTCCCATGATCAACATACCAGAAATGGTGTTTCCGAAGGATTTGGTATTATGCGGGTGCAGCAGTTATGTTAGTTCGCGGTGTTGAAATCCCAAGAACTGCGTTCTGGCGCGATTCCAGATCATCAGGATGCAGCAGTCAGGTTGATCCGTGGCGTTGATGTCCCGAGAACAAGGTTTTGGCATGTCTCAAGGTCCTCAAACTGTTGCCTTCCAACGAGGCAGTTCCTTCAATGGAAATGAACCGTTGTAGGGGCCTATGAAGAGGGAGCTTGGAGGGAGGGTTCATTTCAACATCTTTAATGACTCTTGGGTTTACACTGGTCCTCCTCCTCCTCCCTCCTCCTCCTCCTCCTTCTCCTCCTCGTCGTCCTCCTCCTCCTCCTCCTCCTCGTCGTCGTCCTCCTCCTCCTCCTCCTCCTCCTCCTCCTCCTCCTCCTCCTCTCTCTCTCTCTCTCGGCCGAAGAGTCATGCGACGCGGCCACCTTTCCTGCCCCCGCCCCACGGTTTAACCCGGTGGGGCGGGGGGGCTAATTAGGGAGAAGGTGAGAAACTGTAAATATGGAAAAGGTTGAGAAGAGAGACGGGTAAAGCGAAGTGGTCGACATCGAGCCGCGCCACACCTCGGATCCTCCACCCCCACCCCATCTGCTCCCCTATGGTCCTTCCTCCCACAGTGAAGGTCTGAGGCGAAGGAGGAGTAGGTGAATGCGCAATGGAGCGGGGTGCGGCAGATTAACGGTGAAAAGGGCTGGCGCGGAGGTGGCTGCAGTAGCCTGCTCTTTTGGGGTGATGCTGAGGGGTGCTGGTAGGTACTCGAGGAGGGTCGAGAGGTTGTCAAAGTAAACACAGGCTGAATTGTGAGATGCCTGGAGGTGCCCTGATGGCCACAGCTGCTGAGGTAAGGTGGGGGTGCCCTGATGGCTGCAGCTGCTGCTCTTGAGGTCCCGTCGGTGATAGCAGCTGCTGGGATGAAGGTGCCCTGATGGCCGCTGACACGTGCTAGTTGCGGCCGCGGCCGCCCTGGCCCTTGCCAGGACGGCCCGCGGTGAGTCCGAGCCCCCGCCTATCCCAATACCCTCGCCCATCCCGACCTCCCAGGCGGCAACGCTGCAGGCGGTGTGTGTGTGTGTGTGTGTGTGTGTGTGTGTGGCATGGTAGGCACTCGAGGAGGGTAGAGAGGAAGTCAAACGAGGAGGGGAGGACAGTGCGGTGCCTGGAGGTGCCCTAGTGGCCGCAGCTGCTGAGGTGAGGTGGGAGTGCCCTGATGGCTGCAGCTGCTGCTCCTGAGGTCCCGTTGGTGACAGCAGCTGCTGAGATGAGGGTGCCCTGATGGCCGCTGACACGTGGTTAGTTGCGGCCGCGGCCGCCCTGGCCATTGCCAGGACGGCCCTCGGTGAGTCCGAGCCCCACCTTCCCCCCAAACCCTCGCCCATCCCGACCACCCAGGCGACAGCGCTGCAGGCGGTGAGTGTGGCATGGTCGGCAAAGCGAGGAAGGGAGGATTGTGAGGTGCCTGGAGGTGCCCTGATGGCCGCAGCTGCTGAGGTGAGGGGAGTGTGCCCTGGTGGTGTTGCTGCTGCTCTTGAGGTCCTGTTGGTGGCAGCAGCTGCTGAGGTGGAAGTGCCCTGATGGTCGCTGGCACTTGGCTAGTTGCGGTCGCGGCCGCCCTGGCCTTTGCCAGGACGGCCCGCGGTGAGTCCGACCCCCCACCTTTCCCAATATCCCTGCCCATCCCGACCACCAGAGGGGGTGGGGTGAAGATTAGCAGGACGAGGCACGATGACTAGGAAGGTGGTGACGGTTGGGGGAGGAAGGTGAGTTCAGGTCCCGAAATTGATGTAGGCAGCGCAATCGAGGCAGTCGCCGTATCCAAGGTATTGCTGCCATGTGTCCGTCCACTGCAGCAGGTGAGGGAGGTGAGGATGCAGATGCGCTCGGAGATGACGGGATCGCACGGTCAGCCGCTGTAAGGTCGGTCCGACCCTGAGGCGTGGCTTCAGTGTAGTGGCGTCCAGGTGGGGTGATCGTGGTTCGCTCGGGGAGGGTCGAGAGTGGGAGTCGTGGAGGGCACCACGGTGTGAGCGGGAGAGGTCGGTTGGAGCGTAGGTCGGAGAGGTTGGAAGGGCATGGTGGTTTTGCTGTGACGGCGTCGGGCGCGTGGGCACCTCGTTCGGCCGTCGAGGCCTGTGTGGATGATGGCGAGGATGGCAAGGTTCGGGGCGTAGTTGGTTGATGGGCTCGTTGAGGCTACCGAGGAACTTGGACATGGATTTCTTGGCCGTGGTGATCTCTTTCTGGATGCCGAGGGCCTGGTTTTAACTGGCGTGTTGTTCCCTTACCATCGTGGTGAGGGTGTCGAGCTTCTCCTGGATGTCGTCGTCTTGGGGGCGGTACTCGGTCATGATATCTGCTATCAGGGCTTGTTTGGTACTTCGCATGTTGCTGGTCTGAGTGATGGTGCCCCGTGCCCATAGGGTGTTGGTGCCGTTGTAGGACATGCCGAGGATTGTGACCTCGCCGCCCTCGTTCACCGTGATGGTGCTCTGTGCGATGGGGACCTCCAACTTGGTGTGGTACGGGTGGCGTATGGTTGCTCCCATGGGGAAGGTGTTTGTGTCGGGGTTGGCCTTCCCGTGTGTGATCGGGATCCATCCAGTGGGCCTCTGTGGTTCGACTTGTATGGCAGGTGGTTGGTTGTCGTTTGCTGCTGGTGTGCTGTCGCTGGACGTCGGGTCGGGACAGCTGGTTTCGGTAGTAGGCATGTGTCGCTCCCCTGAATCGTGCTCCTGCTGTATGGTCTTGCCCTCGTAGTCGATCATACGAGTCGGCTGTTCTGCTGGTTCTTCTCTGACGGTCGGCAGGGTGGTGGGGCTTTGGATCTCGCTGGCTTCGCTCCTGAGATGTGCCCCGTATGAGGGGGTGCTTGGTGCTCTTGGTTGGGAGTAGTTTTTGAGGGCGTGGTTGCTGGCGTTGTGCTAGTGGTTGCGTCGCCACTGCTCGCCCGTGTGTCGTTGTCCGATAGGTATGCTGTATTGCTGATTGCGGTCGGCGCTGTGGCTTCCTTCTTGTGCATTGTCTCTCCCTGTGGGGCTGGCTCTCGCGTCGGTCATATCTCGATGTGTATCTCGCGCTCGACGTTACTGTGGTC